GACAGGCAATGACCTGTTTTTTAGCATGAGGAATGTGCTCGCTCAGGTTGGCAGAGCCAATCCTCTCCTCGTTATGTGTTCCACTAGGGAATGATGCACTTGCTTGGTCTTTCCTTTCTCATCACCACCCTCTTGCTGTGCCCAGGGCTGTGGGGCCTGTGCTGCTACAGCACCAAGCCTTGCCAAGGTAATGACCATTCCCAATGAGACCCAATGAGGTCCAGTGCTGCAGAAGTGACTGCCACATAATATCATGACATGTCAGGTGGCACTTCAAGGAGGAGGCACACCTTCTGAGAGAACTTGTGCTGTTGTGGCTGGCAATGCTTAACTTCATTTCTTCAAGGATGGCGGACAACAAGCCCAAAGTTCTAGCCATTGTGTCACCTGCCACAGGGACCCTGGGTACCTATTAAGGATGTTCTGAACAGGAATTTCTTTTGCTAGTGCAGCTTCCAGGCTGTTAGAGATCTCACCAACCTCATGCCCCACAAATATGGAGGTAGAAATGGGGGAGATATGACCCAGAGCGTTTCACAGGGAGATACTGGGCATAAATCTGAGATTCAGCTCAAAGGTAGGTGCTGTTGAAGAAAGTATTTGGCAAGGGGGAGATAAGGTTGCCCCAATCTTTTTCTTCCCATGTTTCAAGAGCATTGAAGCAAGAAAGGAAAGGGCAAAATAGAGGAAAAGGGGAGGACTAAACCCATGCAGTGCCTCAATCCAGCAAAGCCCAATCCCGTGCTCATCTGTAAGTAGGGGAACAGTCCTGATGGCTACTCATCTGTTTAAAATCATACCTGGATCTGACAGCTTCACCAGGTTGGGGCCAGTGTGCTTGACAGACCAAAAGAGATGATCTCCCATGAGCAAACCCCTAGAAAGGGTTAGCAGACGTCACAGAGGAGTTTTTAACACTTGGAAAGATGAACAGCCAGATATTAGAGAAGAAAATAGGAAATCAGAGAATAAAGAGAATCAAGAGTTACCAGAAAAACACCACCTGTAGGCAAATACTCTTGACCCTGGTAGAATGACCATTGTCCGATCTACAGTATTTTTTCTCTCCATTGCCTGGCATGTCATAATATTGTGTCTTTGTGTGAAATCACATCCCCTTTCAGAGGTGAAACTGTTTTCTGAAGAACAAATGCCCACTCGTGATGTGCTCACCACAGGGATGTTAAGCCAAGAGGTATGAAAGCAAAGAAAATTAGACCTGTAAGTCTGGGGCATCTTTCCCAGGAAAGGCTAGATCATTTATGCCAATCTATCATCCTCTCAAACTGCACTCATCCATCTTCCCTTCAAAGATGAAGAAGTGGCAACATCTCTAACTGGGGACATCTTATGTGGCCAGAATTTCAAACAAAATCCTAATTGAACAACAATGACAACAGAACAGGGAGATCAATGGCAATGTCAATATACATTATCAAAGGGACTGCTGTGAACCATCTTGACATACTCTGAGTGGCTGCGTTGCATCCTGTACAGCATTACAAAAACAAACAGAAGAAAAAAAAAAAAAAGAAAAAAAAAGAACAAACCACCCATTTTTACGTTCTTTAATTTGCATTTTCTGCATGAAATAAGACCTTGATCCTTGTCTTTTTTCACAAAAGCAGATTCTGCTTTAACTAATGTAAAAAAAAAAAAAAAAAAAAAAAAAAAAAAAAAAAAAAAAGGAAAGAAAATAATGTTTCTATAGCAAAGTGATTTAGATGTAGAATTTTTTTTGTAAAAAAAATGGGGGGAGGAAAAAAAAGGGAAAAAACAACAAAGAAATAAAATAAAATGACCTAAAGAGCCATCTTTGTCTACTCTAGAGGTGGGAAGGTGTGATTGGTGGGTGGCAGTCTCTGCTCACATAGCCGTCCTGTGCCAGATGGAGAGGAGCTAAAGCCCATTCTGTGCCATGGGATGGCTCCCAAGCGTGCTCACCAATTACAGCTGGGTGCTTTCAAAAACTGTCTCCTTCCATCTTGTAAGTAGAGTGGGCAGGAGGGCAGGGGGAAGGACGAGCAGGGACAAGGGGAGTTTCCTTGCCTTCATTCTGGGGTTTAGTTTGGGGTATTTCTGTTCCTGCAGTGACAGTTTTTGAAAGGCGATGATGAACAAAAGTAAAAACAAACTTGAAAATAGTTTACAATTTTGTACAAACCATTATAAATACTAACAACAACTGTTTTTTAAAATGATCCATACCAGTACCAAAATAATGTCATGTGTACATTACTTTATTTCTTTCTTTCTTTCTTTCTTTCTTTCTTTCTTTCTTTCTTTCTTTCTTTCTTTCTTTCTTTCTTTCTTTCTTTCTTTCTTTCTTTCTTTCTTTCTTTCTTTCTTTCTTTCTTTCTTTCTTTCTTTCTTTCTTTCTTTCTTTCTTTCTTTCTTTCTTTCTTTTTAAGTGTTAAAACACTAAAAATATTTCTTTTAAAAAAAAAAAAAGAAAACAAATGTATGTGGACATAAATGTACTTGAAAGTTGTTAATTATCAATTGGTTAGGAATCTTTCTTGGGCTTTTGGGTTTGCTTTCTTTTTTCCTACCCAGAACAAAAGTAACATAACAAATACAACCTTTAAAGGAGAACTTTTTCTCTGCTGGTTTCAATACAAGAGGTTTCCATTTTTAAGTCACTGTCTTTAGGCCAAATCCATGTTACTGAGCTATGAAAAAACAGATGAACTTACCATCCAGAGCACTCAAACTTGTCCTGAACTTCATAGCAGAACTCTTGTTATGCCATTTAAAATGTGTGTTCAAAGGACTTTGCTACAACTTCAGCAAAGTTTTCTACATATCCAAGTATCCTACTGGGTTGTACCAAGGGTTGGATGCACACAAGCTCTATGCTATTGCCCAGAGCAAAGTGGAAAACAGACTAAATCCTTGTCTTTTTTTTTTTTTCTTTTTTTTGCTATGAGGTAACTTACTTTGATTTTGAGGAGTAAAAAATATAAGCTCTTATTTCTACAAGCAAATGAAGTACTCTAGCATGGCTGGACCTTTTTGTGCTAACCAAAAGTAGCTGAGACAGTATCATTTTCAGAACTGACTGATTCAAGGCATTGAGGTATTTAACTGGAATCTGTTAATAGGCAGATTATTAAGCTCCAAACATCTTAGGTTAAAAGATTTGTTCTCTTGAAATCACCAAGAAGATTTGGATGTGCAGATAAGGATGTGCAGAGAGGCCAAGGTGCTACAATTTGTCTCTCAGGGCTGAGGAAACCCTAAGGGGAGTCAATGGGGAAGAGGGAATGTGTGGTCAGCCACGATCATAGGTGAAAAGAAAAAGGAGGCTTTCTCTTTTTTTGGATCTTTTTTTTTCCCACTGAGTCCAAAGCCCATATCTAATGTAAAATCATTAGCTTACTTCCTTCGTATGTGACAACTCAACTCGTAACTCTCTCACAAGCCTGGTGTGCCAGTCCTCACAATCAAAAGCCCTCAAGCCCTCTGAGCTGAAAGGCTGCACCCACGTGTCCTTATGCCCCTGCCACACATTCCTCTTGGACTTCCCACCGTTCTCATATTTGCTTGGAACTGAAGCTCTTTGAAGCTGAACAACCAGCCCTCAGTCTCAAGGGTCCAAACACTTGAGGGGATTCAACCTTCCACAGTTTGCTCCAAAATCACAGATGCACGGCTCAACCTAGAGGAATTTCCCACCCAATAAGAAACATAAAAGCCAACTACTTGATTGATTTAAAAGAGAAGTAGCAAGTGGGTAGTGTCTGCAGTGTTGATGGTTAAACAGTGGGAGAATGAAGAGGGAAGCAGCACAACGTAAATCTTTTTGAGCTGTGGTGGTGAGTTACAGTTCCTGCTAATCTGCCACTCTGGAGAGGTTCTGTGATGCTTTTTTCCTCCTGCCTTCATTATATTAAAGAGATAAGAGTGCATACGTTTAGCTGCTGGAAAAACTACTTCATCTTCTTGTCTCATTTAATTTGAAGTGAGATTTCAGTTCTGTTAATCTCACCTTGCCTCCCTGTTCTCTTCTGTTTCATCTATTGTACCCTGGGTTTCCATGGCAAGATCTCACACTGCAACAGGGAAAAGCACTTAATGATTTCTTCCAGTTGTGGTTCAGCAGAAGATGCTAATAATCCCTTCATAACCATAGACAGGGGTCACAACCACCCTAGATATCTATCCTCCACTCTGTTATCAGGAATATTTTGTCTAGATTAGAATTCCAGCAATTGTAGTATATTAATCCACATTTACAGTAAGCCACACCTGACATTCCTGGAAGCCCAGATTAGGCAGCTTTACAGCAACAAACACCCCATTAAATTCAATATGTTTACATATGTTACTGGGTACTGAAAGAATTTCTGCTGATAACAGGAGGGATATTGCAGCATTAATTGTGCTGACCTATCAAACATTCAAATAAAGACAGAGATCCACACATCCAAAAGTTTTAAACATCCAGGCTCCTCAGACTTTTCAATGGTTTGGGCACTTAAGTAACATCATAATATTATCCAAAGTTTTAAAAAGCATGAACACATTTATAGGAAATACAACTGTGGGTTGACCTCCAAAAGTTTGGGTGGTAACAAGAGGGCAGAGCTTGGCGCATTGCTCTGCCAGCTATCATGCATTAAAGTCAACGTCCTCTTAAACTGGAGAAAGAAGAGAGTCTAAAAAAAGAGTTGTTATAGAAATTTCAGACTGATTTCCTTACCGCATGTGAAATCATCAGTGTCAAGAAGGTTTCGATTTTTGTTGATATATCTTTGGAGCATTCACGTCCGAGAATAAATTATGTTTTGAGTCGTATCAACAAAATTTGCAATGCAAAATTTCAGGCAGGCAAAGGAAGGAGGGAAATTCACAAAAACTGAGAGCAAAACAGTTACTAAACTTGAAGTATTTACTTTTAAGGCAGCTGAAAAGCACTTCATTGGAGTCAGTGCAATTTCACTTTTTTAGATTTTTTGAAGGAAAAAAAAAAGCACAAAAAAACAGGAAAAACTCACAAATATTGTCCATCTAGTTGTGTTGTGAAGTCTCATCTAATAGACCTTGTGCTGGGAAACCAGTGGAAGTCACACTGTCCCTGGACGTACAGAGCAGATGTAACCCAGCCGCGCGGGGTGAAGCAGCCTGGACATTCTGTGCTGGCTGCTTGGGTCATGCGGCTTTCCCCCAACCAACACACTTCTCCAAACGAGGGTGAGGCTGAAGCTGCTGTCTAAATCGGGCACTGTGTCAACAGTTTAAATATTAAGTGTTCCATGAGCTCTCACCAGCCCATGGGAAATGCAGGATCAGCCAGAGAATTCAACCTTGAATGCCTCACATGGACTTCTTCCCCCAAGCAGGGCCATTCTGTTACAAACAGCCAGGACACAGCTCACAGATCCTTCCACATTCCACTCTGCTCCTTACACCAAAGGCGCTGTGTAGGAAGAGAGGTCTCTCCCGTGACTGCAGGGGCTGCCTGGACAGGTGGCTGCAAAGACGAGGCAAAAGAAATTTGGCATCCTGCAATGTGTCTGCTATAGGGCTGAAGGCATCTCCCTGAAGGTGGGAACCTGCTCCCTTACGAACAGGTAGGTTTGAGACTTTTGGCATCTTGGCCAGAAATAAGCAAACAAAACCTAAACAAGGCTGCTAGTCTAAGTATGGTTGGCAGGACCGGACTCCCCAGCAACACACAGCTGCCACGTATAATGTCAGGGTCTGCACCAGCTTTGGCTGATGGGTTGTCTGAAGCTTTGATGTCATACTAAGCACAGTGCAGGAGTCTGGCACTGCAATAACAAAGACACAAATAATGATAGCAAGGTTTGTAGCTGGAAAAATTCTCCAGAGGTGCTACTGGTTTAAAACATGATTTATGTAAGCTGTTCTTGACACTGGTTTTGAATGATCATCTCAGTTTGAGGAATTAAAATTTTGCTCTGATAAACTGGATGTTGAATACCACTCTCATTCATGTTGTTGCTTACAGGTCCTAAATCAGGATATAGAAGAACTTCCTTAAAGCTACTGGCACTGTAGCTTTAGGACCATGTAGTTAGGACTATAAGGAAGGTCCTAACTTCAACCTGTACCCATTATATGGGAGAAAGGCTTTTCTGTCCCTTTCCCCTTGCAGTGTGTGACAATAAAATAATTCAGCTTTATCTCTCACACTATTCTTAGGAAACATTATCATGTAAACATGCAAGACCAATTAGAAAAATCATTTAATGAAATAAGATCAGCAGACAAAGCAGTTATAAGACTGCGCTTTTCATGCTCTTGGTCTAAAAATCACGGCTGTACAAACCTCCAGGAAGGAACTTTCTGTACCTAAATGGGGACTATAAGAAAGAAGAGGACAGACTCTTTAGCAGGGCCTGCTGTGACAATACAAGGGGAAATGGTTTCAAACTAAAAGAGAGGAGATTTAGACTGGACATAAGGAAGAAGGTTTTTACAGTAAGGGTGTTGAGGCACTGGCACAGGTTGCCCAGAGAGGTGGTGGTTCTCTGTGCCTGGAGACACTCAAGGTCAGGTTGGATGGGGCTCTGAGCACCTGTTGGAGCTGTAGGTGTCCCTGCTCAGTGCAGGGCAGTTGGAGTGATGGCCTTCAGGGGTCGCTTCCGACTCCAACAGTTCTATGATTCTATGATTCTAACTCGCTGCATACAGAAAAATTCAGCATGTTGACTGAAACAAAACACCTCGTGGCATGATGCAGAGCTCACAGAGATACTGCTTTGAGATGGCCCATCTACCATGCACCCGATCCCACAGGGTAGATCTGTCCTCACCCACCCACATCCTCACACTGTATATTCTCTCACTCCGTGGGTTTATTGGTGAATGATAAGTACATTTTCAACTGGATTCATCTTTCAGTTGCTATGCAGTCAAGCACCCTCCTCAGGGAGCTGTGAAGATCACAACAGGAGCTGCTGCCCAGTTTGTTAACATTATGAGTTTATATGTGAGTTCTGCATGTACAGCTGAAGCTCATTTTAGAAGAGGGTCAGAAAGTTAGCATTGCTGAGCTGCACCAGTTGCACTCCTGTTGGAGCAGGAATTGCTCTGATGTCTCATTTTTGTATCTGGATCTCATCCTCTGGCAGTGGCATCCCACCACTGCCATGCAGCTGCAGGCAGTGCCACCAGCCACCAATTCTTGTATGTAACATTGAATGGCCAAGGAGGATGCACAAATACCATTGTTGTATCCTATTTCTATTTCAGGTCCCTGTTCCTTTTCCCAAAGGCAAATTTTTCTTTTTTTCTTCTGAAGTTTGATAAAAATCCATTCTGCCATTTTGAAGTCAGATGGGTAAAAATGAGCCAACTTTAAATCAGAGTTGCCAACTGGTTTAATTTAATTTGGTGAATTAATCATGAGCCTAGTTCTAAGTCCTTCAAAAAAACAACAACATGTTCTTCGATTCATGGGAATACATCCAAGGCTGTGTTTGCAATTAAAAACAAAAAGTAAGTTTCTGTCAGAGATAAGCTCTCACAAATATTACTGTTGGAACCTGTTATTAGAAGATAAATTAATGAAATATGACATCATACATTTATTAAGCTGCCTATTATGATGTAATAGGTTTCAGCTCAAAATCAAAATTTTCAGGAAGTGAAAAGGCAAATAACTAATAATTACTGATTGTGTGTCCAAGAGCATTTCTGTACCAGTTCCTGGAGGTACAAACCCATGACTGTCACTGTTTGAGAGGCATTTGGATAGTGCCCTCAATATTGTACTTTTGGTTAGCTCTGACACAGACAGTTGGACTAAATGATGTTTCAAAGTTCCATCCAACTGAACTATTCTGTTTTCTATTCCATTCTATTCTATTGCCAGGGGAGGCTCAGCTTAGCTATTAGGAAAAACTTCTCTGAAAGAGTGGTGATGCACTGGAACAGGCTACTCAGGGAGGTGGGGTGTCACCATCCCTGGAGATGTTCAAGAAAAGTGTTGATGTGGCACTGAGGGTCATGGTATAGTGGGCATGTGGGTTGGGCTGGCAGTTGGACTTGGAGATCTTAGAAGTCTTCCCTCTTCTATTCTATTCTATTCTATTCTATTCTATTCTATTCTATTCTATTCTATTCTATTCTATTCTAATTTCAAAATTTCCCAAGCTTCTTTCCCCTGCAATGTAACACATATGTGTACACAAGTATACACATTCCACAGAATTTAACTTTCTCATCTGAGATCTCTAAACAATGCTTCTGCTGAGCTCTACTGGGCAAGGAAATGACTGTAATTTATCCAGGGGAAGCAAGGGTGGCAGAGAAGTGCACGCTTGTGCATTTTTATGTTTCTGTTGGATAAAGTTTCCACCTGGCTTCAAGTTATGAAACAGCAGTGATGACTCACCCTTCAGGATCACGTGAATGCCTTGGGAGGTATGTAAGCAGAGCAAGAGGGAGCACCCAGGAACGGTATAAACAAGAAAATTAGAAACATGGAGTTCAGGTCTCCGATTCCCTGCTGAGGTGCTGTATCCACTGGTGCGTAACAGAATCAGAGAGGATTTCTGGTCTCACTGGGGAGTTTATAAGGACTGTGATGCAGAAAAAAGCCTGTTCTCCCTTCAGTGATAGTGTGGGAAGAAGAGATAGGCCTGCCATCATAGAATTATAGAATTACAGAATGGCCTGGGTTGAAAAGGATCTCGGAGATGATCTAGTTTCAACCCCCCTGCCATGGGCAGGATCTCCAACCACTAGATCAGTCTGCCCAGAGCCACATTCAGCCTGATCACATCATCCAGTCTGCGGATCACATCAGTCTGTTTTATTTACTGGTAGAACTGTCCAGCTAGAGTATTTGGAAGCACTGCACTTCTGATGAGATGGGATAAAGTGTCCACTATGCGAGTTAGGGCACAACTCCTACAACTCCTACAACAACCCACTGTAAAAATGTGAGTCCTGCAACTGTGGAAGCTCTCCACAGAATGGGGTCTAAAAAAACAAAACAGAAAATGTTCCACCCATCTTCTCACTTCCCTGTGCATTTGCACAGATACTGACCCACTTTCCCGGTTCTTTTCCTTCTCAATCACAGAATCATAGAATCATTAGAGTTGGAAAAGACCTCTAAGAACATCCAGTCCAATCATTAGCCCATCACCATCATGACCAACTATCTCTCAAGGACCAACTCTGTGCCCACGCAGAACAGAATGGACAGGAGTCCATTCTGTAGAAGGTATGTTGTGGAGAGTCATGTCTATTAGCACACATCTTGATCTTCAGCTAAACCTCCAGGAAGCATGACTCTAAGGCTTGATTTGAATCAGCTCAAAGCTGAGTTTGTGCTGTGCACTCTGGTTTTCACAGAGGATTGAGAGCTCTTCTTAGGTCAGCATACTCCCTCTCTGATTTAATTTGGTCCTAATTAATTTTCACAGTAATAGCATGAGAGGCAGAATGGCAACAGAGGAAAATCCATTAGATAAAAGGAAAACATTCCCATTGAGAAAGCATTCAGTCATCAGAACATAGCCTCAAGTAAGCTGTGGGGTCTCTGCACCTGGAAACATTCATTATTTGGGAGGACAGCCCATAATATCTACGTTACCTTCCCATGTAGTCCTGCTTTGGTGGCAGATTTGCAGAATTCCGTTCCCACTTGCATTTCTCATTATGTTGTGAACTCTACGTTTGCTCTGGCCTTGCTTTCCTCTGCTGCTTGCCCCATGCTGCCAGCATGTGGGGCTGTCCCAGCACCTCAAGGTCCATGGGCATGCGTCAGGCCATGGCAAACAACCTGGGTATGCAAACATGGCTCCTGAACAGGATTCAGTGAAGCAAAATGAGTTGAATGGAAGAGATTAAAATAAAGCACTTCCTTTATCAGCTGCTTGTGTCCAGAGGCTAAGGATTTAAAGCAGAAACCACACAAACTTTGGAATGGGGACTAAGGGGTGACTTAATCAGTAGAAATTAGCTGTGGGGTTTGTCACTTCAGCTTTTTTGTGTTTGGAGTGATTACAATTAAAATGCAAAGATCTGACTGCTTAAGTACTCCATGCTAATTGGGAGATCAGTGTGATTTCTTTTCCTTTTCTAATTTATTCTAAGGCTTTGTTTCCAGTGTGGAAGGTGTGGCAGGCCCATGGACTTGAAATGGGGGAGAGAGGTGAGAAATGCCAAAACAAATCTGTGTGGGCAATTCCTCCAAAGCTTTTCTGACTTTCCCTGCAGGGGGAATGAGTCTTTCCAAAGGGCTGCAATCACCCTGATTTCCTCTCCTCTGGTTACTTTTCAGTGTCTGTCTAGTCCAAAAACTCTGGGTTTGAATTGAACAAGATGATTTGGTCTAGGATGTTCTCAGTTTTTGGAGAGGGCAGCCAGAGAGCTATCACAATGATCTCATACAAGCAACTAGCTGCCCATGGCTGATATTCATGGAGTAGATGTAGTACAGTCGTTAACACACCACCAGATTGTGACAAGAGTCATGATGGTGCTCCTTG